AGGGGCTGGCAGTGAGTTATGGTGATTTTTTTTACTGTCTAATGGAACTTCTAGGTATATGACAGGCAAATATCCTATCTCAAAACCAGTTTCCAATTGTATTTCCCTCTGAACCTCACTATCCGCACCACCAAAAAACAATTTAATCTTTGGATTGCTAATCTGCAAACCTATGGCAGCCGAAAATTGATTCATTTTTTCCATCAAAAGCTTCATGGATCCAACATCACCTCTCAAGAAAATCAGGATGTCACCACTAAACAGAAGTTTATGATCTTGAGTTTATCACATTTGGGATGAAAGTTAAAATTTGGGTTGGGTTCAAGGGTTTTGAGCACTCTATGAAGATATTCCATTATGAGCATAAATAGGAGGGGTGAGATGGGATCCCCTTGTCTCAACCCTCTTTCTGCCTTTAGAATACCAGTAGGAGTCCCATTTATTGAGAATCTATAAGACACATTTTTAACACAAGCCATGATCCACTTAATGAACACATGGGGGAAACCAAGCTCAACCATGATTTGATGCAAAGTATTCCATTCAATAGTGTCGTATGCTTTTTTGTATATCCATCTGCACCATACATCTAGGAGAATGATTTTTCCTGCTGTAGCCTCTCACAAGCTCTTGAGCCAACATGATATTATCCTGTATAGTTCTCCCAGGAATGAAAGTTGATTGTGAGTCATCAACTACCTGATTAATCACTTTTCCCAACCTGCTAGTAAGGATCTTGGATATCATCTTGTAAATGGTGCTACAACAGGATATTGGTCTCATGTATTTGATAGTCTTGGCATTAAGTGTCTTTGGTATCAGAGTCACCAAAGAGCAATTAACAGCCTTAAACATCCTGCCAGAATCAAAGAAATCCATAATTGCACTCTCCACATCATGTTTCACAATAGGCCAAGTTTTCTTGAAAAAATGGGAGTTGAAACCATCTAAAACCTGGAGCTTTTGTCACACCAATTTGCACTCTCCACATCTCGTTGTTTTAAAAATGGAAAACGGTAGAAGGTTGAAGAAGGTGGAGGGTGTGAAGGTTTCGAAAAGCTTCGTTTGGGTTATCAGTTTGGAAGTGGGTCGCGACGGGTGGACGGAAGGAGGTTGACGGTGAGTTTGGAGGACTGGGTTACGGTAGACGAAGGGTTGTGTTTCAAAATGAAGATGGAGATTTGGATGGGTTAACGGTGGGTTTGCATCTGAGTTGTTGTTGGTTGTAGATCTGGGTTTGTATTTTGAAGGTGATTGTGTGGTGATTGTTTGTTAACTGGGTTTTGGTTGAGAGGTTTTCATGGAGTTTGAGTAAGTTTTGTTGTTTGAAACTGAAGAAGACATAGAGAATTTGGTTTGCGAAATCGGACGGAAGGAAGGTCGATGTTATGGTGAAGATGATGAAGTGTAGGAGGTGGCGGCCGTTAGGGTTTATTTTAGGGTTAGGGTTTGGAGACTCTTGGAACGGCTAGGGTTGTCTGAAACTGGGAGATGGTGAACAGTGGACTCCCCTATATAGGGCTGCCACGTGGCAGCTGTAGGATTTAATGGATGATTAGTAATTAATAACTCGCTGATGATGAATTAGTTACAAAACACGGTTGGTTAATGAAAAAAAGAATAAATAAAATCCTAACCTTAATTAACTCCTAATCTAATAATAAATAATAAATAAAATAAACTCTAAAACTAATCTAAGACTAAACTAAAAATTACAATCTAACTTAATCTAAATTTCTAATTAAATAAAAGCCAAATTAAACGTAAACTAAACTAACTTTAATAAAAAAAACTATATTAAAATAATTAACTAATAAAAAATTAATTTAAAAAGTTAATAAATAAATAAATAAAAACTACTTCTAACTAAAATAAAAAATCTATTTCTATTTAAAACAATATAAAAAACCTATTTAAACTAAATTATAAATAATTCTACCAAACCTATAAAATAAACCTATTTTAAAAAAACTATCCTATATTTAACAAATTCTATTAAACTATTAAAAAACTATTTCTACAAACAAACAACAAAGTTTCTAATAAAAATTATAAAAAAAACTAAATCATATTTAAATCTAAAAGAAAACTCTAAAAAACTAAATTTCTATTATAAATAATTAATCTAAGAAAATAAAATCTAAATTATTAAAATTTAACTAAACAAAATCTGACTATTAATAATGAAACAAATCAATCCTAATTTAATAATACTAATAAATACCATAAATTATAATTTAATAATACTAATAAATACTATAAATCCTAATTAAACTAATAATAATATCTTACACTAAAATTAATATTCTAATAAATAAATAAATGATTAAAAGAAAATAATCCTATAAAGATAATCTAAAAAAACTCTATTTAAAAAATAAAACTATTTACAAGTAACTCCTAATAGTCTAAACAGGGATTTGAACCGCAGTCCTTAAGCATAAGGACACACAAATCCATCTGCTGGGGCGGATATACATCCATTAACTAAGTTAAACAAAAATATATTACATATGAAATAAAAAAAACAGATTTAATTAAAATAAACTTATTTAAACTAAATAATAAATAAACAATAATAAAAAGCTAATAAATATTTTATGTTAAAACTATTTCTAATATAATTAAAAACTATTAAAACTCTAAAATAAAATTCATATCTAAAAACTATTTAAATCTAATGAAATCTATAATCTAAAAAATAAACTATTTTTAACAAGTTAGTAAATAAATAAATAAAAACTATTCTAACTAAAAATAAAAATCTATTTCTATTTAATATAATAAAACCTATTCTAAAATTATAATAAAAAACAAATTGATTATCTAAATGAAAAGCTAAAATAAAAACATATACAAAATAAAATATTAGAAAGAAAAATGAGAGAATAAATATGGGATTAAAATTTACAAAAAATACCCTTAGGCCACGTGCCGCGCTCCTATTGGATAAAAAAGTCGAGATTTGAAGAACGCCCAATCGGGGCGGACACGTGTCTAAACGGCATGAAATTAAATGAAAAATGCAAAAATATTTACAAAATTCGGCGGGCAAATTTAGAGTATGACAAACCTCATGTCTTTGATACTCTTGGCATTAGGTGTTTTTGGTATCAGAGTCACCAAAGAGCAATTAACAGCCTTAAACATCCTGCCAGAATCAAAGAAATCCATAACTGCACTCTCCACATCATGTTTCACAATAGGCCAAGTTTTCTTGAAAAAATGAGAGTTGAAATCATCTAAAACCTGGAGCTTTTGCCTCATCAATTTGCACTAAAGCCTCCCAGATCTCCTTTTACTCGACAGGTTTGATTAATTGCTGAGCCATATCTCTAGTTATACTTTTGCCATTTCTCATGCTGGGTATGTCTATGCTTTTCAACTCTGTTGCTTTGGTGCTAACCAGCCTAGTATAGAACTCCATTATCTCTTTTTCAATGGTTTCATGGCTACTCAACAACTCTCCCCCCATTGAAATCATAGTATAAATCCCCTTAGCCTTGTTTTTCTCCCTTTCTGCAACATGAAAATATATGCATTGTTATAGTCCCCTAACTTGAGCCAATTAATCTTAGCTTTCTGCATGAGGATGGATTCCTCCAATTGGTTGAGGCTCATCACTTTCTCAGTATTCTGCTTAACTTGCTCTATAGCCCTTTGATCAAAAGGAGTATACTGTAGACAAACGTATGACTGAATCAAGTCTTGCCTAGCCTGTTGGATTTGCATTTGGATGTTAGAAACCTTCCTAGCCAAAGGCTTCAAAACAGGTTGTAATCTCTTGAGCTTGGTCCAGAGCCTAACCATAGGGGTACCCTGAGCCTCTTGTTGCCAACAGTTAGCAACTAGCATCAAGAAAAAATGTTCAAGAGCTACATAGTTTAGGAATCTTAACACATGATTTTTTCTTGGTTTTTGCACCAAAATATCAATCTTTATAGGGGAGTGATCGAGATGTTAGAAGCAAGAACCTCTACAGTTGCTTCATGGAATTTCTGAAACCACCCTGCATTCCCTATAACTCTATCAATCCTGGAGTATATTAGCCATGTAGTATGCTTGTTAGACCAAGTTTAATGACTACCCTTGGTCATTGTCTCAAATAAGCCTCTATATTATTCATCATGTTCCTCAAGTCTCTATATTCTATCTCAAGTACTGCATTACCACCTATTCTGTCCTGACAAGATAAAACATTATTGAAGTCTCCAATCACAATCCAAGGATTATTTACATTATTTCCTAAACCTGCTACCTGATCCTATAACTCTTTTCTCCTTTCCAGTTGGTTAAAAGCATAGATAAAAGTTACCTCATATTGGAGAGCATGGTCCAATGTATACACTTCAGCATGAATGTATTGTTGAGCAGTATGAGTAACTTTGACTTCCACATCCTTTAGATTCCATAACATTCAAATTCTTCCATTCAAATGATTTTCATAATTGTCAGCATAATTCCAGTTGTTACCCATTTTGTTTCTAATTCTACCAGCATTTTGTTTCTTGACTCTAGTTTCTATCAAGGCCACAACAGGGACATTAAAACTGAGGAGGTAGAAGCTAACCTCCATATGCCTTGTTTCCTTATTTATGCCTCTTGCATTCTATGAAGCCATCATTGGTCAATGTTTGTCTCCCCCATAGGACATTCTCCAATCCTAAGGGGGGTGAAAACATTCTGATGTGGTACAAATGCAGTTTTTGAAGTATGATTCATGGCTCTTTTACATTTGTCCATTCTTCCTGATGTTACCACAATCCATTCTGATGTGGATTCAATTTTTTGTGTCTCTTCTTTCTCCACATCCTATTTGTCCGATTGAGCTTGATTTTGCTTTTGACTAGTATCTTCCTTTAGATCTTCCACAGTTTGCTTTTTCCCCGTAGGCTTCCACACTTTAGCTTGTGGTTGTTTCTTCACATTGTTTTTCTTTGTTGCGCAATCATGGCCTATTTTCAAACATGTATTGCAATAACTTGGCCTCCATTCATATTCTATTTTCTGCTCCAAAACTTTTCCTTTGTGATCCTTAATGTACACCACTTCACGAGGTTTTTGTGTGATGTCAAATTCCACCAAAACCCTAGTATACAAGATTCAAATTTTCTTTGTTGTGCATTCATCCGTTGTGATTGGTCTACTGATAGCGCTTGTGATCTTAGAGATACTTCTTTCCCCCACAAGTGTAATGGCAAGTTGGGCATTATTATCCATAACGGTAAAACACGTAACAAATCCTCTCTCATTTCAAAAGCAGTTGACCATTGCCCGAGGAATAATGGCTTTCCATAGATGAAATAAGACCCTTGAGCCATAACACTCTCATTATCTTCCTTGCTTCTGAATCTCATAATAAAGTACCCTTCTTCATTGTAATAGAGTTCTGGAAGAGCAACACAATTCCAACTCATTTCCATAAATTTCTTAACCGCATTCATTGAAAGAGTTTCCCCCAATGCAGATAAGATGATTGAGTTCTCCCAAAATTCTAGTTCATCCGCCACATCAGCTTCCTCAATCTCAATTTCGACTTCACCATTCACTATTGTTGGGGCCACAAACTCCATCATCATTCCATGATTTAGACTTCTATTTCCTTTGATAACATCAGCCCAAGGTTTCTGTTGCGTTTCATTTTCCTTCTCCAACGCTTGTTTTGGTTCAAAATTCGTTGTCTCCAACATACCTTCACCTTCCTTTTGTGGTGGCGGCGTAAGGAGTTCCTCTGGTATGACCGATGTAGAGTCTTGTTTTTCCTTGTTAACGATTTCATCTTCTTGCACTACAGTAGCTTGTGTGATTATTGTCCTCTCCAACCCCTTCCGGCGTGCCTCCGCCTGAATTTTTGGCCGGACGACACCCCTTTTCCCCATGGTACCAAACCCTAGAAGAGCATCATCAAGCACAAAAAAAGTTGTATAGAATATTTTCACTATCCTAGTTTTGACCTCATTCAAAATACCTATCTTAAGAAAAGTAGGACTCATATGGATAATCTTTTAGACAATTTTCCTAAATTTCATATTGCTAAAAGATACAAAACATAAATCACAAATCTTCTTGGAATCAACAAAACACACACATCATATTTACTCACTGAATCGATCCTCCAGACCGAGTGCTCCACACATGTTGGAACATCATTTCCCACATGTTGCCTCTTCACAAATTCATCTTGTTTTGCACATTTTATTTTACCTAAGGCAACCAACCAAAGAAACAAGAAGCTCATATTAAGAGATAATACACTCGGTAAATTATAATTAATCCCTCATCCAGAACAATGATCCCCACTTAAACACAAGAACACCCTCGAAGCACTTAGGAAAAATATATGTGAGAAAAATGAGAGGTTTAGAAAATGATGAAAAATTGAGAAAGTAGAATCCAAGATCATTTTCTTGATGATTTGAAATGATAGTGAAGCTATATATTTGTAAGACAAGTTATGGTTTTAATTTGTAAATAATCAATGGGCAAATTAGCTGCCTTAATCTATTAGGCCAATCAATTATTACACCTCAATAATAGCTTGTTCAAGCCATAAAAGGAAGATTTTGATATTTAACTGTTACCAATCATTTAGATACTATCTTAATCGATATCATAATCTACAAAGTGAAAATATTTGATTAGATACTTAGGACTAATCGATTATCCTATTGTAAAAACTTTCCAATTAATTAGGCAATCCCTTAATCAGTTTGCTAGTTTTTAAAAAGGCTTTTATGTGATTTAAGAAAATAAAGAAAGGCTTCTCAAAGGTTTTTGTGTGTCCGTGTGTGTGCGTGTGTGTGTGTGTATGTGTGTGTGTGTGTGTGTGTTTGGCGAGTGTGCGTGCGTGTGTGTAATTTTGGCATAAAATTTAAAGGAGTACCTTTGTGCCTTTACGAGACATTGTTGGATGAGAATATGGACTATGAATGCTCTAGAGGGGGGGGGGGGGGGGGTAACACCCCACTTCCCAAAATCAATTAAATTAATAAACCTCATAAATAAGCAAAATCAGAGTTCCAATTCTCCCAAGTGGGATATCACATAAAAACAACGTTTCCTTATAAAAAGGTTTTTCTCCAAATACAGCGGAATGTTAAATAATAAAATTCAATAAAGTTTGATACGTTCACAGGGAAATAAAATATAAGCTCAACATAAAATAAATAAAAACGCCCAAGTCCCGTGCTACGTATCAGAGCATCCTAGACTCGACAATCACACCAATATCCAAGCTAGCTAAGCACCTGGATTATCTGTACTTCCGAAGAAGCACAGACCACAACAACAACAAAGGGGTGAGAAAACATGATCAAAAATATAACGGTAATGTAATACATGTAAATAAGGTAGTACAACACACCAACACACCAAGATTCACCCCTAACAACACCATATGACGAACCTACTGTTCAAATTACAATATAACATATGAGAATGCAAAATGCAACTCAACACCATGCATGCGGTACCGACTCATTGGTTCATTCAATCGAACCCACCATTCTCCACAACGGAGTACGGGTGAATCACTTACGCTCCATCCGAGACATGATTCAACCCCACCATTCTCCACAAAGGAGTACGGGTGAATCACTTACGCTCCATCCGAGACATGATTCAACCCCACCATTCTCCACAAAGGAGTACGGACAGATCACTTACGCTCCATCCGAGACATGATCCATCCCACCAAGACACCATGATATGCACACACCAATGCATAACTATTATGTTCAGGCACACTAAGTGCACACGATCCACCTGATCGTATCATTATACATCACATATATATGCATAGATATAACATGCACCAACACCATATAAATCAACCAGATAGTAAACAAGTTCATATTCTATCACCAAGATACAAACACATCCCACTACTCGGGGATACACGATACTATTGATCACTACATACATATACATCAACTAATTGTCCACCAGTCATTATTACGGGAAACATGCACTATCACCAAGTACACAAGTTAGTTCCCACACTCATCATTCTTACAGTGCATCAAGGCCAAAGGGATCACACAAGCCCAAGCTCAAGGCCAAAACATCACAAAAATCACATTCTGGTTCTGCTACGTTTGCTGGCATTCGCCAGGCGAAGAGAAGCGAACCTTCGCTGGCATTCGCCAGGCGAACCTGCTGGCGAAGCCCTCATTTCACTATCGTGCACTCGCCAGGCGAACCTTCATTCGCCAGGGGAACCTTCGCTGGCCACACTCGCCAGGCGAAGTTCCTACCCTTTAGGTCTGGGACTTAATTCTGAATTATTCGCTGCCACTCGCCTCAGCTCGCCAGGCGAACTCTCGCCTCCCTTCGCCAACATTCGCCAGGCGAAGCCCAGCGAATGCTGCGATTCACCAATTTCCTCACAATTCTGCAGTGCTATTCTAGGCCAAGTTATGCCTATCATCTCAACTCAGACCCTCAGCCTATTCTAGTACCAATCTTGCCCATTACCGTAAACAATCGGTTTCTAATTCCTATTCCCAAAATCATCACCTACACACTTTATCGATACCTCAAAAGCCATACAGAATTTTCCCTAAAAACCGTAAAACACCCTATATGCCCTATATGCCAAATCAACCCAAAACACCAATTCATTAACGATTACCATACAATTAACAACAATCATCATCAATCATAACATATCAACTCACAATATCATATATAGATGATCTTCCTACGGGGTTAAGGAATCCCCAACTACCCTATACATGTATAAACCATTTCCCAATCAAGTTTCTCCCCCCTTACCTTGTTAATCGGTTGATCGATGAAAGAACCCTCCAAGGTTTGGCCAATTCTGATTTTCCCCCGTTCCTTCGTTCTTCGCTCCCTTTTCCGTTCTTCTCACTTCTCTCCTTTCTATCGTTCTTTTTCCACTTTCTCTAACTTCTCACAATGTATCGTAAACTACTAGCCCCTCACGTTCTCTATTTTAATTCTCTAATCCCAATAATAATAATAATTTAATAATAATAATAATAATAATAATAATAATACTAATAATAATATTATTATCTCACCAAAATAATAATAATATTAATAACAATAGTAACTATAATAAATATAATAATAATAATAATATTCCCACCAATATTAATATTATACACTATATGATTATATTCACCAAAATACCACCAATAATCCTCCCACATTAGGGACACCCACCAAACATCACCAAATACACCCCCACCAAAGGGTACACCAACATATAATATTTAAAATAATAATGAAATGACTAAATAATTAAAATGGGTGTTACAACTCTCCCCCACTTTAATTATTTTCGTCCTCGAAAATTACCTGATGGAAATAGCTCCGGATACGCTTCTCGCATCCTGCTTTCCAACTCCCAGGTCACACTGCCTCCTGCGGCACCTCCCCAAGCTACCTTCACCAAAGGTATCTCTTTCCCTCGGAGCTGTTTCATCTTACGGTCCTCGATCCTCAACGACATCGTCTCAACAGTAAGATTCTCCCGAATATGAACATCATCTCTCTGAATCACATGAGATGGATCAGAAACATACTTTCGCAATTGCGACACATGAAACACATCATGTAAGTTTGACAACTCAGGCGGCAACGCCACCCTATAAGCCACATCACCAATTCTCTGCAAAATCTCATAAGGTCCAATGAACTTAGGATCCAGCTTCTTGGACTTCAATGCACGACCCACACCAGTCATCGGATTAACTCTTAGGAATACGTGATCACCTACACAGAATTCCAACTCTTTCCTCCGATTATCATGATAGCTTTTCTGCCTACTCTGAGACACTTTCAATTTCTCACGAATCATTTGAATTGTCTCAGTAGTCTGCTGTACAATTTCTGGCCCAAGCACCATATTCTCACCAGTTTCATACCAACACAGAGGAGTCCTACACCTCCTCCCATACAAAGCTTCAAACGGTGCCATTTCGATACTCGAATGGTAACTGTTATTGTACGTGAACTCAATCAATGGTAAATGAGTATCCCACACACCACCCTTTTCTAATACACAAGCTCTCAACAAATCTTCAAGCGACTGAATAGTCCTCTCCGACTGACCATCAGTTTGCGGATGATAAGCTGAACTCAATTTCAACTTAGTTCCCAAAGCTTCCTGCAAGCTCTTCCAAAATTCCGAAGTAAACCGTGGATCTCTATCCGACACAATACTGGACGAAACACCATGTAACTTCACAATTACCCGAATATAAATCTCCGCCAGCTTCGTCAACGGAAAACTAATATTGATCGGCACGAAGTGTGCAGACTTCGTCAATCGATCCACAATCACCCATATAGCATCAAAACCTCTCGCCGTATTCGGCAAACCTGTCACAAAATCCATAGTAATGCAATCCCATTTCCAAACCGGAATCACTAATGGTTGCATAAATCCAGAAGGTCTCTGGTGTTCCACCTTCGACTTCTGACATGTCAAACAGGCATACACAAATTGAGCTATGTCTCTTTTCATACCAGACCACCAAAATAATTTCTTCAAATCGTGATACATTTTTGTAGCTCCCGGATGAATACTCAGGCTACTACGATGTCCTTCGCTCAAAATTGACTTTTTCAATTCTTCATCATCTGGTACACAAATCCTGCCTCTAAATCTCAACACACCTGTACTATCCAATTTAAAGTCACTATCGGAGTCACTCCCTACTCCAGGCATCAAATCTACCAATTTTACATCCAACTTCTGATTTTCTCTAATCATATCCAAGAAGTCATTATTTACCTGCAACATACCCAACATTACACTATCTGCAGTAGTCTCACAAACCATGCTCAAATCTCTAAACTGTTCAATTAACTCAATTTCTTTCACCATCAGAGCTGCCATATGAAT